ACTTGAATAGTATTATTATCAGAATTTTGTTACCTGACTCCAACTGTTCTCAATGCTTATAGTCTAATGGGAGCAGGCTAAATGAATCTTTCATTTCTAGTTCAGAAAACAAATTTATTTAGCAATACTATTTGTTATTAGAAGTAGGAATCATTATGGTAACAATGACAAAAATTAGCAATTGTATAATAATCAAAAGTTTCTCACACTAGACTTACTATTTTATAGTTAGAATTGCTCAGAAATTAACTCTATTTTTCTATAACCGAATTCAACTTAGTTCAGCATCCATCTTATTCATTTAAGGGTAGAATGGTCTTAATCTTGCATGTCAGCATGATTTAGTCATTTCAGGAACTGTACTTTGGATATGTTTGGGTATGTAGTCTGAGGGCTTGTGTGCTGGAAGCCTTGTCCCCATTCTGGTGGTGCTGCGGTGGTAGAAACTTTAAAGTTGGGCCTAATACAAGGTGCTGTGGTTAGAGTGGAGTGGCAACTTGATTGGCTTTTGAATCCTCTTAAGGGATTAGTGGAACACATGTCTGGGCATGGCTGAGTGAGTTGTGGTGGTGTAAGCTTGGGGTCTGTCTAGTCCTTTGTTTCTTCCTTTCTGACACCATTCCTCTGCTCTACTTCCTGTCCACCATTCCCTAAGCGGCTTTGCTCTGCCATGCCCTTCTGCAATGACATCCCTACCTTAGAGACAGGCAACTATGGACTGAATCTACTGAAGCCATGAGTCAAATTAAAGCTTCCTCCTTTAAGTTGTGGGTGTTAGGTATTATGCCTTAGTGTAAGAAAGCTGATTAATACGTGAGTTAATTAAGTTGTGAGAGCACCTACCTTGAAAGGGATTAATTTTCTCTCAGAGATTAGTTCTTGCAAGAGCGGGTTGTTACAAAGAGAGGCCACTGCATGTATTTGGTCCCTTCTACACACTGCCAGTTCCCTGTCCACTTTTTGACCATGTGGTGATGCAGCCAGGACACTGGTGCTATGCTATCAGCCACCAGATCATGAGCCAAATAAACCTCTTTACTTTATAAGTTACCCAGCCTCAAGAATTTTCTTATAGCAATAGAGCAAGTTAAAAACTTAGTTTTTGGAAGGTAGTCAGTTCAGAGTTCAAACTCTGCCTCAGGAATGTTTTCTCTAAAGGGTCTTTTCTTCTTCTCTTCTCTATGATAGTGTGGGATTTCAGGAGGCAGCTGATTCACAGTGTGCTGTAATCTTCTGGTATTCATTGGTTCTAATGAAAGGAGGCTGGTTCTACTGGGTCTCTAGGTGGCATCTACTATCTTTGCATCAGCTTCAGATGATGTCCTTGTGGCTGGTACAGACTGTGCTTTCTCTTGGCACAGTCAAGGCCCCCAAAATGGCTTGGGTTTCATCCCTCCCTGGTACTGTCCAGAGGTCACTACCACCCACACTCCTGCATTGTGTATGAGGAGAGGAGCTGTTGAATTGAGGAAAAGTTCGCCAAAGGCCTAAATCCAGAAGTCTGTCATTTTAGAAATTAATTTTGGTTTTGATTCATACACATTTGTACATGTTTTTGAGGTACAACGTAACTTATATTGGTTTAAACAAAGTAAGAAAACAAAATAAAAAGAGATTTCCTGGTGTGTATAACTGAAAAGTCAGATACAGCTAAATTTGGATGGAGCTAGAGCCAGATACTCAATGTCATCTTGCATATCTGTTTCCTCCATTCCTCAGCCCTGCTCTCTTCTCCATTTGACTCATATTCAGGCAGGTGACTCCCATGGTGCAAGAAAACCTCGGGCATATATTTGGCCTTCTCTGCATTCCCAGAATGGCAAGCAGATCCCATTTGCCAGTGTTTTCAGCCGAGTTCCGGATGAATGATATTGGCCCTGATTGCCCTCTTTGGGCCATTGTCCACAGCTGATCAACCTCTGTGACTTTGATACCCTCATTGGCCAAGCCAGGATCAAATAACAACTGAGATCAGCTCCATTGAATCTATCAGACTTAGGAAAGGGACATTTATCAAAGAAAAATCTTAGTTTATTAGCAGAATAAGCATGAAATTTTTATTAGACATGCAAACATAGCAGATGTAGAAAGAAAACATCTGTATCTAAGAGAAAAGATTCCTTCAAACACAAATTCATATAAGAAAGTATTGGGTGACCATATAGAATCAGAGTGAGAATGATATTTCTAGATCTCTAACCCTCAGTGGAGTATTTATTGCTGCTGATTACCCTGGGCCACCTCTCCTTCTCTAGAAACCATTTCTGTGATTATATTCTTCTCCAAACACCTAAAGCCACTGACAGAAAAAGAGTTCTCCAGCATGAGCAATGCAAGAAAAACAAATTTAACATGCCCTCCCCCAAACCAAAACTTCCCTCAATGCAGTGGTGCACTACAATAACCCCAGCTACTCAGGGGGGTGAGGTAGGAGGACCACAAGTTTGAGACTACTCTGAGCAACAGTGAAATAAATAAAATAAAACACCCTTTTGGTTCCTCTGATTCCTTCGCAGTATCACTCCCATCCTTCCAGCATCATGAAGTGTCTGGAGCTCCTGGAAACAGGCCATCAGAAGCCCAACCGCCCCCCCCCGCCGACATGTATTTGATCCTTGAAGAAGGGAGGGCTACCCAGCACCCCCGTGCTGTCACCCTTCTCAGTTGTCATTTCCCCATTTTCTACATGTGGTCCCAATTCGTGGTGCCAGTGAGACTGTAGTTGGGGATGTGTGCCCTTCCTCTTAGTCTTCCCCACCAGGGTGTCTAAATAAGGAATGTCCAAAGTGAGGCCCAAATGAGGTGTTGAATAAGGGAAAAGGGGAAAAGAAAAATTCAAAGTAACCTGTTCCAATTTCCTGTTCTATTGCAGAAGAATCAAAATGAACCCATTGCTGCTTTCTTTGCAGTTTGGTGAGGAGTGGCCTAGTTCTAATTGGCAAGACCCCCATGTCACTCCATATCACAGCTCAGGAGCTATTAAGCTCTTATTCACGGGGCAGGGCATTACTTACCTTAAGCCTGAGGTCACAGTCGTATCTGCCATCAACAAAACAAAACAACACCAAACAAACAAAAAAACCCACTTCTATTTTCTCAAATCTCCCAAGCTTTAAAAAGGAACAAAAAGTTGCTGGTGTGTTTGCTGACTGGAGTGATTATGCGACTCAATCATTTTGATTTACAATTGCATCTTTGTCCTTGTAGAAATAACTCTCTGCAGCTGAACAACGGGAGATGGAAACGGATTAACCTTCCAACATGTGAATATAAGATGAGCTTTAGGGAGCAGGCCTCTATTTGAGGTTAACACAAAGTCTCCAGTTTCCATGAATACACAAAATTAAAGAGCATTCTTTTTTTCCCCCCTTTCCTTTTCTTTCCTTTTGATCTGCCATGAAAGAGGAACTATCAGCAGTGTCTAAGCCTCAGTTTTATTTTTCCCTTTACACATTTTGCATCATAAAGCATTTGAATGTGTTTGACATGTTCCAGGAGCTCTGAAGAAATCTTTAGTTGTTGTGTGCAACAGACTGCAGAAAAATGAGAAGCGAGCGGTCATTCTGGAATGTAAAATTTATGGGCCATACTGCAAAGACAAATGGCTTTTTTACTTTCCAGAAATAAATAAGTCTGTGTCTTCACTTTGCATCTGAAAAGGCTGTTACACTGGACCAGTGATTATCAAACCTAGACAGGCATCAGAATCAACCAGAGGGTCTGTTAAAACACAGATTGCCAGGCCCTGCCTCCAGAGTTTCCGACTCAGTAGGTCTGGAGGGGGACCTGGGAATTCGCGTGTCTAACATCTTCCTAGGTGATGCTGATGCAGCTGGTCCAGCAATCACATTCTGCAAACCACCACACTGCCAATCTGAATGTAAATAGCAAACCATTCCTTTCTTCCCAGCTCATGACACAAATAGTTTCCCAGCACTGATAGTTCCATCATTTCATTATGTTTCCAAACAAGGTAGATGGGAAATCCAGCAAGCCTGGACTATTGGGATTCTTGCTGGATCATTTTAACCTGGTTATCTGTTTCTAGTATGGATTGTAGGAATAAATGAAGCCCACTCAAATAAGAACCATCAGCAGGTATTTAGTCAGAACTTTCCACAGCAAAGGAGTTGGCCAATGTCATCTGTGCTTAGCAGAGACTCAAATCAGGCAAAGAAGTGGGAAAGCTTGACAGTGAAGGAGAAGGTTCAGCCCTGCCACAATTGCAGGATGTTAGACAGGGATGCTGGAGGTGGGCTGACTAAACATGGGTTTCCTGTGTGATTGGTTAGGAGAATATTTTTGGCTTTCCTTGGTCCTAAATTGGAAGAAGAGACAAAAAATTAAGGAAATTGCCCATTATTAATCAAGTCTTAAATACTTTGAGCCAATTGCTATAAGGTTTATTATTTGTCTTCCTGGATTGCTACTAGAGAGAATAATCTGACTTCCTGGGCCAGGTCCCTGATGGTAGTTGTTACAGGTTAGGGGTTGGTTTCCTGGGCAGGTGGTTGCAGGTAGTGGATCATAATTCTTATTTGGTGTATGGTATGGCCATTGTCTATTTGTATATTTGGTCTTGCAGGCCTCCACAGTAAACATTAACTTTGATAGATCCTTGGTCCATTCCACATTGGCAAATTTTAACTAAAACATAACTGATCTTCATTAAAGGCCTACTATATACAAAGTATTATGTTAGGTACATGACATCTTTTATGCCATAGTACCAGTGTCATTAAGAAGCAGACTAAATCATTTGGGCATCAAAGAGAAGTTTCAAGGCACATGGTGTTATAATATTCCACCATACTTCTGGGGAATGGAGAGGGCATCCAGCACTCCTTTCCTTCCCCAAGTCAGAGAGCTTTGTCCTATATGAGAGTGTAGCTCTGCACATTTGCATTAGGAGTTGGCTTCCAAAGCTGGGTCATCGGGGCGGTGCTTCCATTCCCTTTGGTCACTACTCCTCTAAACCTCTGTGCTTCTCTCTGATGCAGGTGGATGATCTGAAAGCCAAGCTAGCCACCCAGGAAGTAGAGCTGAAGCAGAAGAATGAAGCCGCAGACAAATTGATTCAGGTGGTTGGTGTGGAAACTGAGAAGGTGAGCAGAGAGAAAGCCATCGCAGATGAAGAGGAGCAGAAGGTGGCCCTTATCATGCTAGAGGTGAAGCAGAAGCAGAAGGACTGTGAGGAAGACCTGGCTAAAGCAGAGCCAGCACTCATAGCAGCTCAGGAAGCTCTCAACACCCTCAACAAGGTAGGAGAATGGTCCTTCAAGCCTGCTTCTCTCTTGGGGGAGGACCTGGAGACAACTCTAGACTATAGTGTTCCCAAGAGATACAAGGGCATAGTTTCAAGGGATTAAGGTGGCTCCAGCTGTCACTTGTTTACCCAGTAAGTAAACAAACATTCATTTAAACTGACTACATGTGATGACCCAAGAATTACCAATAAAACCCAAAGGCATTCATCATAGAACTAACCAGAAAATACATGATCAACTGGCCCAGCCACTCCACTTCACAGATGAGAAAGCGAACAACTAGAAATGAGACTGGCCTTCCCAGAGTCATAGATGTAAGTATTCAGGCTAAGGCTTAAACTTATATCTTCTTCAGAATCTGATCCCACAGATCTTGCTATGGCGGCTGGGGTCATCTTCCCCTTTAGATATTACAGGACATACAAGCTTTTTTAAACCTTTATCTTAAATGTTTAAGATATGAGACTAAAATAAGGTATTGATTCCTAAACATGAAATAAATCTACAAAGTCAAAATAAGTATTCAACTAACATAAGTGCCGATCAACTTGCCACTGAATTCAACCCAAATACATAACCCATTGGTAGACCATGTGTTACTTTTCAGACATATTCATCAGACAATTTTATTTTGGTTCCCTTTAACTCTAGGAGTGGGGAGAGGGTGAACGACTAGCTACTTCTTTCTTTTCTAAATTTTACATTCAACTTTCTTTCCCATTTGGTTAAGGATGGTTGATCAGGAAAGGAGAAAGAAGAAAAAAGGGGGCAGTCAGATTCATGTCACTGCAAGATGGCAACCGAGACGGGCTGACAAGCCCACCTTTCTCTATGAGGGTGTTCGCAGAAATGCTCCATTAGCACTGGAGACTTTTCCTCTGCTGATTGCTTTCTTGTGATTCTCCTGAGAGTCTAGCAATTCACTTACTCCTTGTAAACATTTGGACAAAAATCTAAGGCAACCTATGGCAGCATTGCCTTGTAAATGGCTCCCCCTCGTCTCTTAATGACACCTGCATCTCCTTCCTTCCCCCAAAAAAACCTCACCTAGTGCTGTGTACTCTCTCTGGCTTGACTGTCAAGGTGCCAGCCAGCTCTTCTCACACACTGTAGATTTCTGGGGCTCACTGTGCCACTCAAACTATGGGAGAAACATATTAAACTCACTGAATCATGTCCTTAAAGCCTCACTTTCTAGATTTTATATGGAAAGGATAGCTTCTCAGTATCCTCCCTTAAATACAGAGTAGGTGGAACTTGCCAACAATTCTCATTATTAATTTCCCCTTTTTTCTCTTTTTTGATCATCTTGGGCATTAAACCCAGAGCCTGGCGCGTACTAGGTAGGCCAGTGCTCTACCATGGAGCTGCACCTCACAGCTCACCTTATTTTATATTGAGACAGGATCTCACTAAGTTGCCTAGCCTGGCCTCCATTTTGAGATCCTCCTGTCTCAGCCTTCCTAATCTCCTACTTCCAGTTTTTTATCCTTAATGATGGTAAAGAGTTTAAAGATCAAAATCTAGTCACCTAAAACATTCTTTAGTTCTTCATAGCCACCTCATACCTCCCTTTGGAGTATAGTGTCTGTTGCTTTATTCAGATGGTCATAAACTAAGCATATTGTGAAATCTTATTGCATATGGTTATATAAAATTATGTTTAATTAAGATGAGAATCCACATTAGTAATTTTTATGATGGGAGATGTAAGGACCCCTAAGAGTAAAAGTGTTCCGGATCAATAAAGAATTTCAATGGGCCTTGACCACAAAAGAAAACACACCATTCTCCATTGGAACCATCTTCACTGTTGCGTAGGCTAGGAATAGAAGACTGGCCCAATTGTACTACCACTTTCCATCATGACACTTCCAGTACAGCCAGACCTGGCTTCTCCCTGGCTCCCTCACAGCTGCATCCATGCCAACCTGCAGCCCTTTGATTAGATGATGCCTCTCCCCTCCATCATTTAGGATTCCATCTCATTTTATTCTATCTAAATCATACCCATAGTTCAAAACCAGGCTTCATTCTAGATCTCTCCCTTTGTTGATTTTCACAATAGAAAAGATGGGACTATTTCATGTTTACACTTCATACCTGTTCACTGATCATTTCTTGATTTCATGAATTATCTCACTGAATCCTTGTAACAAACTAATGGGGAGTACATTATATTTTACAGAGGAGGAATCAGAGGCTAGAGAAGATACAAATCATTGCCAGAGCCACACAATTAGTACATACAGTATGTACTAGTATTTATTAGTATATATAGTATGGACAGTATTTGGCCTCAGATCATCTTAGGAAATCTAATGCCTGCACTTGTTGATTGGGTGATAGAAATAAACAGTATAGATTAATAACTCAAGAAATGATTGGAAACCAAGAGATCGAAGGAGGGTAGAGAGTGGAGAAGGAAAGTAAAAAGAATTAAGATATGTTACTCACATGCAATAACTCCCCACAATGAATGTAATCATTGTGTACTACAAACCTGTACTAATAAATTATTTTTACAAAAGGAAGTGATTGGATTGGATACTGAAAATGGACTGAACTTGAAGTGTAGACACCTCTGCCACAAAGGAAATGAAACACATTTTTTAATGACTGCCAACTATGTCCTGAGCTATGTGAGAGGTGTTTTCCTCTCACTAGCTGCATAGCTTGGCACAAGTCGCTGATGTTCTTGATCTCTTAGTTTCTTTTCCCTATGCAGACAGGGGGAAATAAGAATCAATAGATTCTTTATCTCATACTCCCATACAAACTCCATCAATTCTACTTTCAAAGTATATCCAGAATTCAAATGTTCCACATCTCCTCCCCAGCAATCACTCGGGTCCAAGCCAACATCATCTCTCTACATGGTCTCTATGCATCCACCCTTGATTCAGTGCTGTTTTCATCTGTTATAGCATCCTGAGTAATCGTTTTTTGTAATTTTTCCTCATTTATATTGACAAATGATAGCTGTATACATTTATGGGATATAAAATGATGTTATGATCTTTTAATTCCATGTGGCATGATTAAATCAAGCTAATTAACATACCCATAACCTCAAATATTTATTTTTTGTTTGTTTGTTACCGGGGATTGAACTCAGGTCCTTGCGCTTGCGAGGCAGGCAGCAGAACCACTGAGCTAAATCCCCGGCCCAAATATTTAATATTTTGGGGACGAGAGGATTTGGAATTTACTCTAATAGCAGTATTGAAATGTACGGGGCTCACTCATTAACTGTATTCACCATACTGTGAAATAGCTCTCAAAAAATTAAATATATTCTTCCTGCCTTACTGAAGTTTGACTCTAATCTCCCCAGACCCCCCATCCTCCAGAAAATACCACTCTGCTCTCTGCTTCTGTGAGTTCAACTGTATTTGATTCCACATATAAATGAAATCATGTGGTGTTTGTATGTTTGGTTTATTTCACCTAACCTAATGTTCTCCAGATTTATTCATGTTGTCACAATAACAGAATCTTTTTCTTTTTAAGTCTGGATAGTAGTCCGTGAGGGTGTGTATTTGTGTGTGCAGATATATATATATGTTCTTTATCCACTCATCTATCAGTAGACCTTAGGTTGATTCCATATCTTGGCTACTATGAGTAGTGCTACAATGGACATGTGCGTGCATACTCCCATACTTTGACAAACTGATTTCAAATCTTTCAGGTAAATACCCCAAAGTAGGATCATTTGATCTTATGATAATCTATTTTGAGTTTTTTGAGAAGCCTTGATACTGCTTTTCATAATGTCTGTGTTAGTTTACGTTCCCACCAACCATGTGCACATCCTCTCTAAAGCACTTTCATTTTTTTTATAGTAGCCATTCTAAAAGATATGGGTGATATTGGACTGTGGTTTTACTTTTTACCTTCCTAATAGCTAGTGATATTGAGTTTTTTTGTGTGCATGTTAGCCATTCAAATGTCTTCTTTTGGGAAATGTCTATTCAAGTCCCTTGCCCATTTCTTGAATTAATTTTTTTCTTTCTATAGTGTTGAGTTCCCTATATATTTTAAATATTAATTCTTCATCACATGTGGTGGATTGCAAATATGTTCTCCCAATCTACAGTCTACTTTGTTGTTTCCTTTGTTGTGCAGAAACTTTTGTTTTTGATGTAACTTATCAACGGCTGATCAATCCTTTGACTGCCTAAAAAGGGGGACAGTGGGGGCTAAAGAAAAAAAGACAACAGAGACTTGCATAATTTCAAAGTATATGGAGGGCCAGGAGGTCAGTGCCTCAAAGCAGGCAAAGACAAAGACACTCTGAGCTAGCCACTATTTATTGGGTTGGTTCATAGGGAGTATCAGATGATTCATAGGGCAGTGATAATCCTGAGTTCACAAGCATCTTATGCAGATGTAATCTTGCCCTTGAGCATCAACTCATGGGACCAGAATGACTCTCAACAGTAACTTTTTATTTTGACATAACCCTCTTTGTCTATTTTTGTTTTGTTATTGTGTTTGGTAACATAATCCAAAAACTTATTGTCCGGGCCAATGTTGTGCAGTTCTTTCCTCTATATTTTCTTCTAGTAATTTTATAGGTTCTGGTCTTATACTTAAGTCTTTTATCCATTTTAAGTTGGGTTTTGTATATAGGATGAGATATGTGTCCATGATGCTTTTGCATATAAGTACCCAATTTTGCCCTGCCACTTATTGAAAAGACTGTTCTTTTCCCATTGTATATTCTTGCCACCTTTGTCAAGAATAAATCGATTGTACATTAGTAGATTAATTTTTGTCCTTTCTATTATGTTACATTGGCCAATGTGTCTATTTATATAACAATGTTATGCTGTTTTAATTACTATAACTTTGTAGAATAGTTTGAAATCAAGTAGTGTGATGCCTCAAGCTTTGCTCTTTTTGTTCTGATTGCCTTGACTATTTGGGATATTTTGTGGGTCCATATGAATTTTAGAATTGGATTTTCTATATCCATGAAAAACAGC